GAAATGAACTTCTGAGTTATTGGGAAGCACCAGTATTCGGAGAGGGACTAACCAAATACATGACCATGCACCATAGCTTCATCCAGTAATAAAAACAAGCGGCCCTATCATTGCACAGTGTAGTTTTGGAAGATGCACAGCATCTATCTCAAGCCTGTGAAGAAGAGAACGGTGTAGATACCGAGCCCTAGCACCTGCTGTGTTTGAAAAGTGGAGCCCTGCAGTGCACCTGAGGAAGAGGCAGGCGGCTCTGAGATCCTCAGTTGTTTATCCTTAGCTGAAAGCCACTGTTTCTAATTGCAGAAGCATACCTGTGCAAAGGGACGGGTTGTTTATTAGTCTCATGTGACCATGTCTCTTTAGTTGGTCTGTTGGACAGAAACTCTGCACGCTGTTCAGGTCTTCTGCTGAAGGCTACTGGCCTGCTGCCTGTAATTCTGGGAGAATAAACATTCACTCTATCCTGCCTGCCCTGCGATTCCTCAGAACAGCTGGATTTGCTGTAGTTGGGGATGTGTTCTGTGTAGCCACAGTTAAAACTCCCTGCTGTCCAGGGAGTCCGCGTTTTGTTTCTGCTGTTGCCACTTTCAAAGTGCAATTAACAAGGGCCTTGTTAATTTTCCGGAAATAATTGCCCCAGGAGAACTTTATAACCAACATGAATCCACATTCATGGGTTTCGCTTAGAGCTTTAGCTGTGTGAACGAAAGGCAGAATTCAGAGTCACTAGTTAAAACACTGATTTTCCTGTCTGGCTTGCGCTTAATTAGCAGCTGTCTTGCTGTGATCATAATGTTTGCAAAGGCCTGGCTAGAGCCAGTCACCTCTGACCAGTGTCCGATGATTTTTGTTTCTGTTTTTCAGTGATGAACCGGTGGCAGATATTGAAGGACACAGCATGAGAGTGGCACGTGTGATGTGGCACCCATCTGGCAGGTTCCTGGGTACTACCTGGTATGGAGATTTGGTTATTTGCTTTAAGACATTACCTAGCTGGTAACGTCTAGCTGGTAGCCCCGTGGGTACCACTGCTTGTCTGCAGAGGAGCCCCACACGGGCAAGGGTTGGCCATTCTTGACAACGGCTGGGCTGTTGCAGTGTAAATCATAGAATCACAGAATAGTTTGGGTTGGAAGGGACCTCTAAAGGTCATCTAGTCCAACCCCCCTGCCGTGGGCAGGGACATCTTCAACTAAAATAAATAAATAACAGCAAGTCATTGGGATTCTGTTCTCTGCCCCTCATGTGAGATGCTGTTGGTCTCCAGCTGGAAATAAAAGGCCCACAGAGTTAGTGAAATATCCTGTTATTCTCCCTGGAGATACATTTAGTTGGACAAATGCTTTGTTTTTACAGCTACGATCACTCATGGCGCTTGTGGGACTTAGAAGCTCAGGAAGAGATTCTCCATCAGGAAGGGCACAGTAAAGGTGTCTATGACATTGCCTTTCACACAGACGGGTCTCTCGCTGGGACTGGGTGAGTTTGCTTTGCGTCAGGACTGGACGTGAAATATTATCAAGGTTTTGTCGCTGTTTGATGCCAAGCGCCCCAGCGATTTCTGCGGGTGAAGCTGAGCGTACTCTGGCAGTTGCTGGAGTCTCCGATGGGTAATGCTCGGGTCCTCTCTTCCTAGTGGACTGGATGCTTTTGGCCGGGTGTGGGACTTGCGCACGGGACGCTGTATCATGTTTCTAGAAGGCCACCTGAAGGAGATCTACGGGGTTAACTTCTCCCCAAATGGGTAAGAAAGGAGCTTGCATGGTTTACATGGGAGCTCTGAGTACAAACCCCAGCTCCCAACAACACGTTCTTCCTCCACCCTTTGGCAGATACCACGTCGCAACTGGCAGTGGTGACAATACTTGCAAAGTGTGGGACCTCCGCCAGAGGAAGTGCATCTACACCATTCCTGCCCATCAGAACCTGGTGACCGGGGTGAAATTTGAACGTAGGTGCCTCCTCTCTGATGTTCCTTATCCCTGCCTCTCCTGAGCTGAGGTGGCAGGGGATGGGGCAACTCAGAAATGCATCTTCAGGTCAAGAAGGCCTGTACTGGTTAGCAGAGACGATTTGTCATGTTTTTATTTGCAAATCTCGCTTCTCCCTTTTTCTCCTCCTCTACTGCAGCCAATCACGGAAACTTCCTGCTCACAGGCGCTTACGACAACACCGCAAAGATCTGGACTCACCCCGGCTGGTCGCCTTTGAAGACGCTGGCTGGTCACGAGGGAAAGGTGATGGGACTGGATATCTCCCTCGACGGCCAGCTGATAGCGACCTGCTCCTATGACAGAACCTTCAAGTTGTGGACAGCGGAGTAGCTCAGAGGTGCTGCTGGTGAACGGGAATGGAGACGTTAATGGCTTTCAACTAAGACTTGCTTTTTTTATATTAAAGGAAAAAAAGGAGTCGGCTATTGCAACATGCGTTACGGCAGCGGTAGTCACTGGCTGGTCTTGGGCTGAGGTGTTTCTGAAGCACCTGTGTTTGCCAGGGCTTGGTTGGAGTCAAATCTTGGGTGATGTTTTTCCTCTTTTTAGGACTTTGTTTTTATACTGCAGACACTGCTTTCTGCTGTAATTTGGAGATGATCCATCTGCGTCCACCCTCCCTTCCACGTTAGGCTCACAGGTTTTCTCCAGTCTGTTCTAAACATTTGTAGGTAGCCACACAACACCTCGGGTATGGTGTGCTGTTGAGCCTCTGTTAACGCCCTTCTTACCTTCCATTTTCCAGGAGCCTTTGGTAGGAGTCTGTGGCTTCAAACTCGATTTGCATTTGGAGAAAGAAAAACTAGCTGTCAGGGTTACAGGAGGATGGTACCCTGCTTCCCCTGCCGCTGCAGGGGAGTCTCTGAATGTGGAGGTCTGCGTCCCCTTTGTACTCCCTCACAGTAGATCTTAAAGGCCAGGGAAATTTTTCTTTTCCGTGTACCGTCTCATGTCCTCGCTCCTTGAGCGGTCTCATAACTGGGTGTTTCAAATCCACGTAGGCATCTCCTGTTCAAGTTTTTGCTGTGTCTCACCTGAGACGATACGAAGAAGGCTATTTCAGCATAGGATTGTCTTGTTCTAACTTGCACTGTGCGGAGCTTTCTTATTTGTTGTTTATTCTTTAAATTGAGGTTTTGCAAATGTTGTGTTCTGGAAAATCGAAACGTGTTTTGAATGTGCACCCTAGCCTCTGGGTCTGACTAAGGAATGGAGAAATTACAGGTACTTCACAACACACGGTTTGATTTCTGTCTGCTATCGTAAAAAACCTTTGGGAGAAAAGAGAAGACCGATTCATCTCCCCATTGTCAGCTGGAGAGCAGCTGCCCATGTTCCTTGGGAGTGAACACAGTGCTGTTCTCAACAGAAGTTGGAGATTGTGTTTTAAGAAAAAAAAACAACCCCAAACCCACTCACAAGTTACTTTTCTTCTAGCGGAGTGCCAGTATGGTGGCACCTGCCACGTGCTGTATGCTGGCTCTTATTCCGTGTACGTCTCATGTCCTCGCTCCTTGAGCGGTCTCATGAACTGGTGTTTCAAATCCGTAGGCATCTCCTGTTCAAGTTTTTGCTGTGTCTCACCTGAGACGATACGAAGAAGGCTATTTCAGCATAGGATTGTCTTGTTCTAACTTGCACTGTGCGGAGCTTTCTTATTTGTTGTTTATTCTTTAAATTGAGGTTTTGCAAATGTTGTGTTCTGGAAAATCGAAACGTGTTTTGAATGTGCACCCTAGCCTCTGGGTCTGACTAAGGAAGTTCAAGTTTTTGCTGTGTCTCACCTGAGACGATACGAAGAAGGCTATTTCAGCATAGGATTGTCTTGTTCTAACTTGCACTGTGCGGAGCTTTCTTATTTGTTGTTTATTCTTTAAATTGAGGTTTTGCAAATGTTGTGTTCTGGAAAATCGAAACGTGTTTTGAATGTGCACCCTAGCCTCTGGGTCTGACTAAGGAATGGAGAAATTACAGGTACTTCACAACACACGGTTTGATTTCTGTCTGCTATCGTAAAAAACCTTTGGGAGAAAAGAGAAGACCGATTCATCTCCCCATTGTCAGCTGGAGAGCAGCTGCCCATGTTCCTTGGGAGTGAACACAGTGCTGTTCTCAACAGAAGTTGGAGATTGTGTTTTAAGAAAAAAAAACAACCCCAAACCCACTCACAAGTTACTTTTCTTCTAGCGGAGTGCCAGTATGGTGGCACCTGCCACGTGCTGTATGCTGGCTCTTATTTACTCCCAGGGAAAATGCTATGGGTCGAGAGGCCAGCGACCAACACAGAAAAATACTTCATTGCAGCCTCCTCTCGTGTAAGCCTGGACCAGCTGCATGTGCTCAAGCTGGTTCTTAGCCACCTCATAAAGTGGCTGCTAAAGGGACTGTCTGCGCCTGGCCGCTGTGCAGCCAGGACAAGCCCCCCCAGGGCGTTTCTCATCAGGTTGCCACTCACGGGATGATGCTGGCCCAGCAGTCGCCCTGCAGGCTCCCATGTTTCTAGCTGGCTTAGGATGAAATTTTGGACCCCAGTGAATGTTCTGCGTTTATACTCGCATTGTTCCCGGCGTATGAATCCCAGTGCAGGGTTTCTGTCACACCACGTTCAGCTCCACTCCACTGGAGCAAGGGGAAGGAGGCCGAGCGTTCCCTGCCCCGTGCCCTGGCCCCCTTCAGCGCTGCCCCTTGGCTTCTCACAGCTCATCTCCTCCTCCCTTAGCCCCCATCACGTGCAGCTAGCCTGCACAGAGGTTTTGTAAATAAAATACACAAGGCTCTTTCAGGAGTGAGAACTTGGCCCGAATGCATCCATGCTTCGGCTTTTCTTCTAGACAACTCCAGTGCCTTCCCGCCACCCACAAACTGAAACCAGTAAATCCCCCTGCCCCACTGATCGCACATCGCTGCTCTACAGGCGCAAGGTCTCCCGGTGCTTGCAGTTGGGGGGAAACTCTCGGGGAATCGCATCCCCTCGCAGGGCAGTCTCTGTCGGAAAGGTTACTACAGTCAAAACACTGCCACCTCCTCCAGCAGCAGGTCCGCGTGGTCACTCATCTGGAGTACGTGAATTCCCGAGTTAAAACTGGCACAGAGCAGCGTGGAGCTGTCGCAGACGGCCAGCGAGGCCAGTGGTCCCGATCCCTCGAGGCACAAGGTGGCCAGGCAGGCTGGGGAGGGAAGAGAGAAGTCACTCGGGACACAGTTTGACGAGCTGAGACATGACCACACCAACCTCCCACCTCCTGGCTTTGCCCGTGTGCGTCCGTCTGCTCCGAGGGTGAGCTGCACCCCTTGCTGTCCCATGTCCAAGGGCAACGGGACGTGACCTCTGGAAGAGACACCTCCACCCCCGTAAGCCCCACAGGGGATCTGTGCATTGCCCAGCTAATGTGGATCCAGGCTGAGGTCGGGCTCTGCCCCTTCCCTGGAGAGGAAGCAGGGATGGATGGACAGACAGACCCCACTGGGCAGAGCTGCAGGGCTCACGTGGAGGCATTCCCAACATGCCTTTTTCTCCCAAATTGCTTACAGTCCAGAAAAATTCTTCGTAAGGACTGTGCTACGCTCAACATGCAGTTTTGATAAATCACCAAAAGAGAAACAGAAATAAGATTTACAGTATCCAGCACCACACCAGCCCTTCTGGTTGTGTCTAGTATTAAAAAATATCCTGAGGCAGCATTCGTGCAGACACTAACCCCACGCTGAGCTGCTAACAGAGCCGCATTTGACACAGACATACAGGCAACTCGTGGTGACTTACACCCTTCCAAGAGCACCTGAATTAAGGCTGACGGCTGTGAAGGTCACCCAGTTGTGAAGGCAATAGGATCAAAATAAAGCTGCTGCCAACCCTGCGGCTGTCTCGGCGTGCACAAGCACCAGGGTGAAAGAAGAGGTAAGTGAAACAGAAGGTGAGAGTTTTCTGTGGGAGATCATCAGGTTTCTATTTTCATCCTATGTTAAATAAGTGCATTTGGAGAGGTGCTTAGCCACGGGGAGTGTCTAATGCTGATGACTTCTGCCGCATTCAGTGCCCATCTGTGAACCTGAACCGTTTCCCAAGAGGTCTCTGCCTTCTGCCCAAGGCGTTCGGTTACTAACAAGCTGCTGCTATGGCAGGGCTTGGCAGGTAAACAGCCTTCGTGTCCAGCTCAGGTGAGGACTCGGCCCTCACCAAGTACTCCAGCAGGCAGGGTTAACCCCGAAATGCCCGCGGTTCCCCTTCAAGAGGATGAACAAATTGAGGGCAGCTGCTGGCCAGCCCTCTATCCTCCAGCACAACTTCTATTCTTTACAACTTTCCACTGGTATCTGCGGAAAGCCCCAGAGTTCCTCTGTTCTTTTTGAGTTTTTTATCATTTGTTCTTTCATTGCTGAACTTGGACATATCTTTAAAAGCCATCTTGTCATTACTTCCTTTTAGTTTAGGAAGGACACCCGTCACCTCCAACGTTACGCACCCAAACACCCTCCTTCGCTGGAGGGTTTGCTCTGGGGCATATCTCCACCTTGCCCTGCAGCCGGATTAGAGTAACACCCAGAGATTTCAGGCTTCATTGTCCCCATTACCACCAGTAGACAGAAACGAAGGAAGCAGTTTTGTTATCCCAGGGTGAGGCACACTGAGTGGGCAGGACCCTCCCCTACCTCCAGTGTGTTGGTTCCAGACCTTCACTGTGCTGTCGTACGAGGACGTGGCAATGCTGGGGGCGAGAGCTGGGCCCCGTGGAAGGAAAACGCATGAGGTCGTGGTCTGGAAATGCCCTTTGTACTCACGCACTCGGTTCCTTGTCTGCCGTAGGTCCCACAGCTGCAAGGCAACAGGCAGTGTTTAGAGCTCAGGCTCTCTTACTGTCACTTGCCTACAGGGAGCTGTTTTACAACGAAAGGAAGATGGTTTTGGATTAAGAGCTCCTTGCCAATGCTCAGAGTACAATATCTACCGCCTTTGTCCCCTGCTCATGCTCACAGTCCTGGAGAACTTCAAACCCCAAAGGATTTTCACCACCGGTGACTCTGTGGGCATGTGCCCACGCCCATTAGAGCTGATGGGCTAAGACTGTGCAGGCAGAAAACCACGTCTCCAGCCTGCTCCCGTCCTCAGCCCTGCTCTCCCTGGGATGGGATGGTCTCATCCTCTTGATGCTCACACACAGGGCTCAGAACCTGCAGGATTGAATCCCTGGTTTGGAACACCTCGAGCAAGGGGTCCCTTACAGGCTTTCTGCAAGAACCTCATGCTCCTCGATGCCATTACTGAAACAAAACCCCAGTGCTTTAATCAGGAAGAATATCTGCTCGGATATTCTCTGAGCAGAAGACTTACCAAAGGGACAGGCAGGAAGACACTAAGCTCTGGCCCTGGCTGGTGACACCAGCATAAGGCCAACGCAACGGGAGCAAGCAGATCCTTGGAGCACTGAACTGCTGCCCTCCACTGTATGCCGTCGACATTGGAGAAAAACCAGAAAAAGCAGGACTTGCTGCCCAGCAAACTCACGGTCGCCTCGCCGCCCTCGCCAGCGGAGCCGCTGCTGCTGCTGAGGCAGTACCGCCCGTCCTGGCTCACGTCGCAGCACGTCTGAATGTGCTGCTTGGCTGGAAACGTGTGTGCCACCTGCAGCTCCCGGCTGTCCCAGATCCTGGAAGGAACAGGAGTGGGGAAGGGGGGACTCTGACGCATCAGTGCCACGATGGGCTTCCCTCCATGCCCTCCTGCACACCCTTGCTGCGCCCTCACGCTTTGCCCTTGCTGCCGTCCCTCGTGGGGCAGTCCCCCTCCTTTCTCCCAGCAAGTCGAGCTCCCAAAGCTCTCACTGCACCCTTGCATTTATCTGTCCTGGATCAATCTTTAGCCAGAGCAGCTGTGCCGAGCTTTTTTATAAATTCTCTTTTTCACCCGCAGTTGCCACCCAGTGCTGCTTACAGCCAGGGGTGTCCTCATACTGTCCTCCCCTGGCAAGGGACCATGCTCCAAGACCCAGGTGAGCTGGAAGGGGGCTTCTAGCCACCCCAGCAGAGTACAGGAGACCAGGTGGTCATGACAAACAACCAAAGAAACAGCCCCTTGTGCACCAGCATCTTCCATAATCCCCGTGTGCCCCAACTCCCTTCTCTGTGGCCACATGTAGAATTTACCTGATCGTTTTATCCTCTGAGGTCTGGATGACGTAAGGCTCCCCAGGAACCCAGCACAGATGTGTGACCTGCGGAGAAGAAAGGATGAGCAGAAGCCCACCTCTGCGTGCAGCCCAGGCTGGTGTCTGCCTGTAGATACACAGCCGCCGAGCTCCCATCCTCTCCCTCCTCGTGCTGGGTTGTGAGCAGCAAACATTGGATGAAGTTTTTTTCTGCTTCGCGCCAACGCTGCTCCCCCACCAGGTTCAATCCCAGCGTGGTTACTGGGGGTTATCTGCAGGCAGGGAGGTGCCGACAGCTCAACAGGACACAGAGCCAAGGGAATAGGGGTACCGCGCGCACTAGAAGACAGTACCCATACCAGCTCCGCTGCTGGGCTGGTACAGAAGGGAATGCAGCCCCCACTGCATGATGTGCTTCCTAACAGCTCTGAGGTAGAGCATTAATAAATTGCCGTATGTCTCTTGGTACCTTTGTGCTCCTGGATTTGTTGTTACCTGGAGAATGAAGTAACCGGCCTCAAGCTTTGGTCTCCCCAGGTGCTCAGGCAACCCGTGCAGTGCCTCAAGGGCTTCTTGTAGCACCGAGCTCAGAGCAAATTCACTCTACACGGCTTCATGTGTGAAATAACCAAGTAGGCAGCGAGGTGCCGTGATAGACTGCAAGGAACCAGCGGCTCCTACCAGATTCCTGGAGATAGCGGCTCTGCCCAGACACTCTCCGGTCTCTGTGTCCCACTTGCACATGGTGTTGTCTCGTGAACCCGTGCACAGCTGGGAGGCATCTGCAACCACAAGTTAACGCAAAAAAAAGGTCAAGAAAAGTTGTCAAGAAATCCCTGGGGAATGGGAGCGTGTTGTCCCTCACCCGGGCTCACAGCCAGTCCAGTAACAACCAGGTCATGTCCTGGGAAGTGCTGGCTTGGCCCCGAAGTCCCGTGAAGCTCCCACATCATCACCGTCTTGTCCCGGGATGCACTGAAGACTCTGAGTCAGGGGCAGAGGTGACCTGCCAAGGACAAGATGAGAGAAGCCTGTTAGCCTCCCCACCCAGCCCAGCCGTGCGCGGGGAGAACACAACACTCCTGCCGTCGTGTCAAAGCCGAAGACATGCAGAAACGTGACTGGGGAGAGCCTGCTGAAGACTCTTTGAGTCAGGGGCAGAGGTGACCTGCCAAGGACAAGATGAGAGAAGCCTGTTAGCCTCCCCACCCAGCCCAGCCGTGCGCGGGGAGAACACAACACTCCTGCCGTCGTGTCAAAGCCGAAGACATGCAGAAACGTGACTGGGGAGAGCCTGGCCTTCAAACTCTGTTTTGTCCATGCTGGATGTGCACGTGCCGGATTGCCCGACGCTCACACCGAGACTCCTGCTTGCTTCTGCTCTGCCAGATCCCGGCCACAGGCAAACCCCGACGCAGCGGGGCTGGGGGAAACCGCTCAGCCTGAGTGCGATTGCTGCAGCCCGTACTGTGGCCGTGTGTGTCGTGGCGGGGAATGTCAGGCAGCTGGGGTGTGCGACCCACTAGCGGGACCCACGTCCTCTCAGAACTAGGGAGCTGGATGGTGGATGGGGGTTCTCGGATCTTGTTCTCAGAAACCATTAATTTTGTGGGAAAAAAATCCTTAAAAACCCAAATGAGCCCAGTGCACAGTTGCTTTGAGCACTGGGATGAACGAAGCCCCCTTCATCCCTCCAATGCCCACAGCACAGGGGACCCACGGGGCTGTCCCCAGCCGAGGTGCATCGGCCACGCCACGCACACAGGTATACAGCCCTGCACGTTTGCTCTCCAAGTAGCGTGTTTGGCTTTGTAATCAGGATGCCAGAAGGAAAATTAAAGCCCTGCTGTTCCCAGGCATGGCTGATTTGTAGAATAACGATGAGTCCAGCGGAATGAGACCTGAAGAAAAGTGAACGGCATCTCTGAATCAAAAACTTGACCTAGTAATTCATCCTGAGTTTTTGCTACCCAGTCTCTTGGAGAGGAAGATAAGCCCATGTCCAAGGCTCCTGGAGCCCTGTTTAGTCTGGATGCAACCACTCCCTGCTGCTTCCCTGGACAGCGAAGTATCGGTTGGGACCTTGGGAAAAACCTAACGCATTCCGATACCCCGGTCCCTCTTTCTGACGGAGCAAAGCGAGCCCCCTGTGGATGACAAACCATCGCTCCATCATGCCTGGTTCCCCCGTTTCTGACAGGTAACAGTACGGGAGACCCCACCGCACTCGATCGGTTGTCGCTCACCTTGGTGACCTCCCGCTCGTGCCCGATGAACCGCCGCAGCGCAGCCCCGGATCTCCAGCTGCAAACAGCCACGCTCTGCGGAGGAGCAGGGAGAGGCAATCAGCAGCGGCAGCAGGAGGGCGGGTGAAGGGGGATTATGCACGTTCTTGGTTACGTTACACCGAGACCCGCGCACAGTCCAAGCTTGGAGAGGGAACGGGTTCTTCTGGTTTTGAGCTCCTACAGCATATACAACTGTCTTTAGAGCCCGTCCATTGCCAGGTAACGTAAGAGAAGGACCAGTCCCGTGATTCCAAGCCTGGGTGAGAGCATTTGATGTGATCTGAGCTCTGGAGAGGTTACAGAATTTGATTCAATGAGCTCCAGTGTATGCCCTCACCCTAAGCTCATCTTTTCTTTCTAAATTCAGCAGCTGACAAAGTTGTTACCGTTCACGGAAATGTTTAAAGCTCACATTTAAACTTTATTTTCCTAACCTGTCAATACATTTTCCTGCCTGTGACTGTGCTTTGTGCCCCGTGGCGCGGGGTACCTCACCTTATCCCTTCCTCCTGACACGCACAGGTCTGGATTGAGAGCAGCCACAGAAGTGACGGCATCGGTGTGCGCGGGGCCGTGCTGCTGAACGGCTCGAACAGGTCCTGTCTCTTCCACGGAGCCATCGGCCCTGCAGCAGGCACAGAGACAGCGGCGGGAGCTGCAGGGCGCTTTAAGGCAAAGTCAGGGTGCCGTTCCCCGACGAGACCAAGGTCTGGGAGGTGGCACCACTGCCTGGGCTGGAGAGTGACAACATCTGCCTTTAGAAAGCTGAAGAGAAGCTGTGACTGGACAAATGCATCTCCTGGACTAGGTGAGATGGAGCAGGCCTATTCCACCTCTAGAGCTGCTAAATATTTAGATGTTTACTCACTCCATGCTGGTGCAAAGAAGAAAAGAAATTTTGATCTTGCCAGCCTCCGCTTCCACTAACACCTTTCAGGCTCTGCTGCTCTCCTTTGCTCTGACACCAGCCTTGCCAAGCACGTCGAGTCCCCCCCGCTGCCACCCTGTGCTCTCGGCTGATCTCCAGGCAGAGATCGCCCACCTTGCTGCCAGGCACCGAATTATTGCACCTTGCCGATGAAAGCTGATGACAGTCTCTGAAGAGACAATGAAGCAGTTTGGATATTTGGGCCAAACAGCCACCCCTGAAGCTGTTAGCCTTCAGAGCTCTGCCTTAGCCATCACAGAGCACGACCACCGGCCACGTTTACATGCTACATTTTGGATTTCAGTCCCCCAAAGAAGCTGAGCAGACTTTAGAAGCGAGGGTCAAAAATGAAAATCTGATTCATACATTCAATAATGAAACTAAAACCATGTGCTTGCTATATTTTCTGTTCATTTGCTGTTCTGTATTGACTCTCATAACTGGTTTATTAACTTAAGACAGGATCATCTGGGGTTGTTTTACCTGTATTTGGCGGTGTGGAAGCTGATTTTACTCTGCAGTTTCCCCATAGCCCTGCCGACGAGCACGGCTCCCGCTACGGCCAGCAGCGGTGAGCATCACATCAGCATCTCGGGCACCTGCTGCTGGGACACGACCTGTGGGTGAGGAGACACAGCATTACTGGGAATCCAGAGAGGTTTCTGCTTGTTCCATACATGGGATAAGGTGCTGAAAACACGTTATCTACATCTTAACTTCATTTAGAGTAAGAGGAAAAACCTCGGCGGAGGGGACATCTGGAGGTCCCTGGTCAAACCTTTTGCTTAGAGCAGAGCCAGCTTCAGAGGTGAGGTTACTGGGACCTTACAGCTGCGCTTTAAAATATCCAAGCTTGGTGAGGCCACAATAGAGATGGCGCTGCTGCCTATAATTCTTCTAGCGCCTTACACCTCCTCTTACTCCAGTACCTGCTCTTGACTTCCATATTTCCCGGAGATCCCAATCTCGAGACTGGTGAATGCAAACACCTTCAGGCTGAAGTTTGTACAGCCGGCTGGTGGGACTGTATCTTTAGACCAAGATAACTGCAGTCACGGGCAGCTGGAACTTAACTGGACCAGCCTGACTTAATGTAAAGCTTGAAGTGGTCTTTCCATAGGCTGAGGAACACTTTGGGACCAGCAGCTTCTATGTCCAAACTCCATCCCCAGGTCCAGGCTAGACAAAACTATCTTGATAACCCAGATGCATTCAGCAAAAAAATACTTGCTGTCCAGGCTGAGACCAGCCTGCCCCGTCCCAGGGCATCCCCCACAAGCAGCATCACGACAGCCAGTCCCCGCACGAGCATCCCTCCGGGTGAGGAGCCTTTGGCGGAGCCGCGCTCGGGCCGAGGCAGCATCTCTCCCTCTTACCCTCGCGGGTCACAGACCGAGCAGAAACCAGTTTCAATGGCAGTGAATGACTTCTTCTTAGCTCAGGACACACTAATTGGATTTAGTCTGTACTAGGTGTTCATTAGCATTCCCGTCTTCTGGGTCAGTAGTAGTTTGCTAATAAAAATCAGAAAAAAAACCCCACCTGCTTGTTCTAGCAAAGAAAAAACCTGCTTCAAGGCTCTGCCCACAAAAACTTGAAAACCAAATACTGGAAGCACTAAGCAAGAGGGGGTGGGTTTCTACGAAACACTCCTTTTCTAATTTTACCCTGACAGCCTTTGTGATTAGCAATTAGTAATACCCAGTTAATCTCCGCCTGCTCTATCCATGAGTTTGCATGTTCAAAAGATGTGAAGAATGACAAGTCCCACAGTTGAGGGGCAGTGATAATTCGGCAATTTACTTCTTTCAATCAGACCGAGTGTCCAAATCGTTTCAGTACATTAGGAACAAATACGATTTTTCTTTGACAATGGGAGAACTCTGCAAGTTGTTTCTCCTGCAAAACAAGATTCTAGGGAAAAGCTAAGACGTAAATTCTGATTTTTTAATTACGATGATTACTATGTTTCCCAACCAGCGGTTAGTTTCCCCACTCATGTGGTTAATGTACACGTGCGATCGTCCCTACCCGCACATCAGCTCAAACCGAGCTGGATCAAGGCAGAGAGCTGCCGGCAGCCGCGGGAGGCTGCAAGGAAAGCGAGAGGTCTGTCTTGTGTCCAACTGCATTCTCCCGCCTCTTGCCCGCTGCAAAAAAGAGTAGATTTTTCTGAATCCTGAACGAGAACAGCAGTTGCTCGGGCAGGATGTTCATCTGAGGTTTTACTATCTGGCAGGCTTCCCGACACGTTTATCATGAACCTGGTCCATCACAAAGCTCTCTAATAACGGGGATCCTGCAGCAACTGATCCATACAAAGCTACGCCGCCAGAAGACTGGATTTCACGCTGAAGGATCTCCTATCCTCCCTTCCCCCCAAATGCATTGCTTAACAGAAATCAAAAACATTTTTTTACTAAATTGTTTTTTTAAAAATAACCCGTGCTGCTGCCTAAGCCTGTTGGGGCATTGCAGTGAAATCCGTACCACGGAACAAGGAAACGACAATATCCACAGCGGCGGGCACAGAAATCACAGCAGAGCTTTCTCCCCGTTTTCACGGGGTGTTAGACATCCCTTGGAAGAGGGGTGTTTAACCATCTTTGGGGAGGACACAGGGGCAGCCCCGAGTCCCTATAGCCGGGGGCGGCCCCGTGGGTGGTAAATGGGTGCATCCCGGGTCCCTGTAGAGAGGGGCGCACCCAGAGGTGGGATGTGGGGCAGCCGGGTGGGTGCAATACGGGTGCAGTCCAGGCCGCTATAGCCGGGGCAGCCCCTGGGAGGCGTATGGGGACAAGACAGGTCCCTATAGCTGGGGCAACCCCCTAGGAAGGCTATGGGGCAGCCCCTGGGAAGGAGACGGGGACAGCATGGGTCCCGTGGGGCTGGGTTAGGGAAGGATACGGGGCAGCCAGCCCAGCCCCAGCCCCGGGAACCCGCCGGGCCGGGCCGGGCCGGGCCTTGCGAGTCCG